TTCCTTCGTTACAGTGGATTGCAAAGTGTTTTGTGGCTTGTGGTTACACAGAGCAGAGGGTCTGTGGATCCTTCTGAACTAAATCTTTATTACGTGGTGTGAGTGCAGCTGACTGAGCTCCACACCTATAAGAGTCCCCTCCTGAGGAAGGGTAGGGTCGTGTCAGCGAGCCAGGATTCACATTGGTCTGAGCGTGGCAAAGATTATCCTCCTTTAAGATGTGAGCCAGAGACTGGGTACTAGAAAAGATCTCTGGCCAGGCTCAGACACGAGATGAATTCCAGAGAAGACACACCAGACTGGTGCCCAACAGACCCTGCAACCACAGGGGAAAGGGGACAGACTCCAGCAGGGCCTATTGCAATTGGACAAGGGGTGATGGTTTTAAACTAAAAGAGAGTAACTTTAGAGTAGACATAAAGAAGGATTTTTTTATGATGAGGGTGGGGAGGCCCTGGCACAGGTTGTCCAGAGAAGCTGTGGCTGACCCATCCCTGGAAGTGTCCAAGGCCAGGTTGGATGGGGCTTGGAGCAACCTTGGATAGTGGAAGGTGTCCCTGCCCACGGCACAGGGATGGAACTGGATGGAACTGGATGGCTTTTAAAGGTCCCCTCCAACCCAAACTGTTCCATGGTTCTATGAAAGAGTCGGGTACAGTAAAACACTTGCTTCCTTAACTAGAAAAACAAAAATGCTTAAAATGTTTGTAGGGATCTGTCTTGAATGAAGACCATTAGACTCTGTCCTCCATTATTTCACTTTCATTTGGATTACGGACAACCTGAAACTGAGTCTGTCGTGGAGATTTTCACACAAATCCCTCTGAGATTCAAGAGAGGTTAAAAGCTTGAAATAATTTCCATATCTCAGCTCATGCCTTAATTTTTCTTTCTCTATTCTAGTGTGTTAGCACTTCAGATGTCAGAAAAAAACCCTCTCTGTTTTGGGAGTGGAGAAAGACTTGTGGAGGAGGTGAGGGAGCATCCCTGGAGGATGCTGATGGCAGGCTTACACTTTGTGCGTGGAGGACACAGCTCACCACTTGTATTTCCTGCGGGATACCTATAATGCAGGAGGAAGGTGCTGAGCTAACACTGAGCACCACGAGCTGTCCTATCCACTCCACTCCAGCTGTTCGCTTTTTCCAGGTGATTTTCTAGCAGGAGTAACTGCTGGCCACCCTTGGGAAGCCAGACCGGCTGGTGTGGCCCGGACAAAGGGGCTGCTTTGCTACAGGACCATGTTACACCACTGCATAACTCAACCCAATTAGTGCAAGGCTGCCTGGACCTTAATTGGGCCTGACACGCGCCTGCTGAAAGAGATTCCCCAGGAATTAAAGCGCTACTTCTCTAGTTTGAGTTGGCTGGTGATGTGAAACATGACATGATTTTTTTTGAGAATTTTCTGCGCTTACCATGAAACAAATCTGCCACAGGTATCAAGCAGGCTTTGTGTTGGGGCTGTAATCATATTACAAATTGAACGCTTCCACATGTGCGTGCTGGCACATCTACCCTCGGCTATCTCACATGTATCTGCCCCAAGGTACAGATGCTGAGGTCTTGACATAGCATAATACAGACCTAAATATATTTTCCAGATTGCCTTAGCACATGCTAATGAAAATGAGGAGCAAAAAGGCCTGAACGAAGCAGCTGTTTGAAATTTTCTTCAATCCCCAAAAATCAACTTCTTAATTACTGATAATCTAAGCATCAAAATCACCACTAACCCTCTTCTCCCACTAGACCCTCCCAAGCTGGGAGGCCTGCTCCAAGGCTCTTGGGCAAAACTTTCTCTTAGAAGTGTATAGCATTTCATCAAATATCTTTAGCCTTTCTGGAATTAATTAGTATTAAAATAAAGCAGGGGAAAGGCGGGTGCCTGCTGGAGGTGCCTTCTCTCAGACCCCCCCGCTCAGACAGCCAGAGCAGATACTGCTAAAGCTCGTTGTATCACAATACTTTTATATTTTCACAGCACCTATTGTAATAAAAGGTTCCCCAAACTTACCCAAATGGATTTAGAGATATAAATAGCTTCAATTGCCATTAAAATGCAGATCCTCTTGGATTAAAAAAAGGAGTCTCTGCTTCCAGCACGCAAAAGGATCTGTGTTCAGTCTGGTTTATGTTCACACCCAGGTGGGCAACCAGTCCCGAAATCTAGGCAGTAGTTTTGGGATAAAGGCTTCAGTCATGCAGGATGTACCACAAGTTCCTGAATCCTGGCAGTGGGGCCTCTTTCCAGGGATTACTTTACTGTTAGTCTGATTAAAATCTAAATTCTGGGACAATTTTGCTGAAAACTGTTTTCCTCTAGCGGCAAATGAGTCTGAGTCGGGATAAAAATAAGTAACAGAAGAGGAATACAGTACTTATTTTTTACTTTTTATTTGATGTTCACCATCTCCCCAGGCTTCATTAAGTGACACTGAGCTGTAAAGCTGAGCTTTTCCTAAAGCTGGCAGCATCTTCTCTATAGAAGCAAAAGTTGAATTAATCAGGCTCTTGGAAGCCCCAGACTAGGTGCACTCACAAACCTACAGAGCCATTCAGTGGGATGGGAGACAGGACAGTTTTGGCCAGGCTCTGCAGGATACGTTTTTCCCCTAACAGGAGTCCTGGCAAGGTACACGGGCTTTGACATGGAGAAAGCGGTTTCTGTTTGCTGCTGGATACCTTTGCCTTGTTTAAATCATTACTGGAAGCATCTTTTACTTTTCCACACCACTCTAGGACTGACCAACAAAACCACAACTTAGACTAAATATAGCTGAAGGCAGAGAATGCAGCGGAACCATCCAGGAGTTCACGGTGATTCTCCGTCTGTCTGAGTTAACAGGGACCTGACAGCAAGTTTTGAGGCTCAAGACACGCACAGAGCAACGGGCCAAACCGAATCGCTGAGAAAAAGCAGCCTCACAAATGCTTTTATAATAACTTCCCCTCCCATTACTCCACAAATGTACCTATTTTAAAACAGCAGCTGACACGGGAACAGCGACTGGGACCAGCAGTGGTATCGGGGAGCCGGGCCAGGGTGAAATATTGATTAATCATCTTGTCATGCTGGGGCTTTGTCAGGTTCTGCAGATAGGAATTGAGGGGGTAATGTGCAGCTCCTCCACATAGTAAGGCTGCTGGATCACATGGGAATGATTTGCTGAGTTATGGAGAACTGCTATAGTGGGGTGAACAGTAGGATGATGCTGAAATAAGCTGAAGGGTTTTTTAAAAATTGGCCTATTTGCTTTTTTTCCCCCCTCTTAAAAAAGTGAAATCACTGTAGCAGAAAGGCAGAAACCTTAGTCCTCACTCAACAATGTTTGCAACTGGACAAGTGCACTGTGTGGTCCATCAGGGTGGGTATGACACAAAAAATTACCCCGTTTTCTCTGTTTACTGGGGGATGAGATGACTAATTAAATCTCATTTTGCTCTTCAGCTATTCCTCTGGGTGGGTAACTCTATCACTGAGAAAAGGCAGTGAACATCAAGGTCATGGTAATGGACCTGCAGAGAGCTGGAGGAGTCTTTGAGATGTTTCAGAAATACATTTCGTTCCCTCAGCTCATCACATCCCATCAGCAGGGCTGCTGGGTGGGATACTTTGACAAGAAAAATAACAAATTCCAGGCACCCAACGGGAAAAAACAGTTCAGGGATTGGATGAGGTGGCAACATCAGCTCATGGTGAACAGACCTGGTTATGGGCAGGTTAAACTAACCCTGCAGCTCAGCTCAAGGTGTACATTCCCTGACAGGTATAACCCAGAACATTAAACCCAGGGGAGACTGTCCCACCCTTTCTCCACCTCCCAAACCCGCTTTCATCTAGGGCAGGTGAGGGTAGAGCTGAAAAGAACTGTCATTCCATCAAATTAAAGGGGAAAATGATCTGGAAAGTTGTTTGCAGATAAAAACGTGACTTGATTAATCTATTTGTTCTCTTTATTTGGCAGAAACCTAAAACCAAGTTTCACGGTGACTTTAACTGCACTAAAAATAATAGCCTATTTATGCAATTATCTGCATGTACCTGGCCATTGCCTCAGGCCAGTGAAGTGAGTACAAGAATATGAACACAGGCTTTTTTTTAATTTTTTTTTTTTTTCCCCCCCAGTTCTGGTTTAGGCCTCCTGCACGGAAACCATCAGCTTGTAGGTCTCAGCTTGCCATCAACATGTGCAGGGGGCTCTAGAGCTGAGAGAGCAAACCAAAGGCAGCCCACAACTGTCTTTGAAGGGTTTGGGCAGAAGACAAGAGTGACACACACACCACAGGTCATTCTGAAATGTAACTTAGGAATCTGGTGAGCTATGAGAGGTCTTTGTGCTATGAGAGGAGCACCTCAGTACTTCTATCTCTGCTGATGAGCAGAGTACTAATATGGGCAGTCTCTGGAACAATACTGCCTTTCCTAACATCCCACCTCCCACCGCTCCACAGGCTGCCCAGAAGCAGGGGTTTGGACCTGATTTCAAAGGGAACACAAAATAATTTTTTTTTTTTTCTTTTAGACTCCAAAGGTTCATTTCAGGCAGTTCTGGAGGCTTGTTTAGCCTCCCAGCTGTGGATTTTGATCATTCTGGTGAGTCAATATTTCACTGTGCACCATCCAAGGCACTGAATCTCAACACTGTCCCCACGAGCAGCAGGTGGGTGCAACATCAGCCCAAGCTCGAGGTTCCACAACTGCCTTTTGAAGGTGACATGGCACCAATCCCTCCTGAAAAACCACTTAAAATATTCTTCTTTTCCAAGGTAGTGTTTTGAAACTTAAGAGGACAGATCTAAACCCTTTCAACAGTCTACTGAGAGGCTCTGGCTTGGGTCCTACATTGCATGGCCAAGTCCAAACACCCCACAGTGCCCCGTCCTCTGGTTACCCTTATCATCCCACAGACCCATCTTTGCTCCCCAGAATGCAGAAAAAAAATGGCCCATTACTGCCCCAACCCAGACAAAACCAAGACAATAAGGAAATAGATCCCTTCAGTTTTGTAGTCCTTTATTATTTTTTTTTAAGTTGATCCTCCCATAGTAATGTACTGAAATGCGTAACAGTTACATTGTACAAAGCATTTAAAGAAAGTACCTCAACTTGCCGATTATTTCAAAATGAGATTATAAACAAAAGGAAAAATAAATCTGGTCCCTCACTAAAGGCCAAAAAAACCCCAAAAAATAACTGAATACCTTCCGTTCTTTCTTTATCTTTTTTTTTTTAAAACATAAATTTGGAACACTTCATCTTACAAATAGGATTAACATGAACATAACATCACACAAGCTCGCAGACAACCAGCATAAAATATTGGGTACAGTTTTTTTTTAATCAGAAGAATCATGCTTTCATGAAGAAATTATAACTGTTTATACAATCGAATCAATTTACTGTATTACAAAAAAAAAACAAAACTAAGTCGCATCTATTAGTTATTTAGTTCATTAAAAGGCAAAAAAAATAAAATAGAAGAGGAATGTAAGAAAATTTTCAACACTGTTTTGCACTCCCATATACAAAGATCAGTTCACCTCACTTTTTTGGAAGTACATGGGTGCCTTACATCATAACGCAGTGGGGGACTGGAGCAGTGCTGTTTGTTACAGGAACAGTGCTATTGTAATCAACAAACAATCGTTTGCCAACAAATAAATACATGGTACACACAACACAAAGAAGAAAATTAAGAGGGTAGGGGGGAAAGGGAAACAATACAACAAAATAGTGACATGATTGTCGAAAATTAAAATCTCCTTACAATGATTCGAACTAGTGGTGCTGTCGATGAACGCGGTGCTTTCACGGAATTATCTGGATGATTTAGCTTCTTGGAGTAGTGAACATTCATAGTTTACAATATACACAAGCCTCTTATGTATTGTTTCTCAGAGTCCTTTCTTTTTCTGTCTTTTTTTTTTTTTTTCTCCTTGTTTTTCCTTTTTTTTTTTAACAATGCAGTTGAGAAGGCAAAAAGAATTACGGAGAGAACAAAATATTCCCTGTTACTTCTTTCTACATTTACGATGGATAGTGTGCATTTGATAGAACTGTTTTCTTTCTTTGAAGGGCTAAAATGCATAAAGCTTTAATGAAGAGATTTGTACATAAAAGCAACTGTTCCCAATCCTGTGTCAAACTATCTTATACAAAAAGAAAATCAATTCAGTTCCTACTTTAAAGGAGTGCCCATGTGTGTATCAATGCAGTCTTAACCCTTCTGCCCCTGCCCCTCAAAGCCGGGTGAACTGGAAGACACTTTTTCCCGGCCCCGTTTACATAATCCACTGAAACTTTTTTTTTTTTATTTATTTTTAAGTCGCATTGATCCTCCAGAAGTCAGCAGCTGCCTTTGCTGTGCAAAAACAAAATATTGAGAATAAATAGTTTCTTTTCTTTTTAAAATTATTCAGTTTAAGGTCACCGGACTTTAAATGAGTGACCCTGCAGATTTATAAGGCATTCTGCTCAGCAGTCTTTTTTAAATAGTCATACATGAAAAGAGCCATGCTACTGGGTTGGACTTGGTCCCATTCTCGGCGCGGCCTCACACTGTCATACGTGACTGATGGACTGGATGGCGCTGGATTCCGCGGCCGCCCTCGCCATACTGTGCCACATGTTGGGAGAACTGTGGGATGCGGGATGAAGGGAGTCCTTGTCGGAGAGAGAGAGCATCATGGCGTACGCCTGGATGGGGACAGGAGGAGGACAGAGAGGTCACGATGCCGCGGCGCGGATCTGAGCCTGGACCGGTGCCACCCCCCCACCCCGTCGGGGCATCGCTCGGGCTGCAGCCACCGTTCTCAACTCATTTTGAAACAAAGTGAAAATGCATTAGGTAAAAACCACTGTCAGCCCTTTCACCGACACTTTTGACTCGCTAATAGTAATAATAATTTCTTCTTTCATCTGGGTTTCACAAAGCTCTGAGAAACCTTTGATAGTAGACAAGGTCCCAAAGTCTCCTTTGCCTTCAGATTCTTGGCACAGGAGGCTCTTTTCAAGAGCCTGAGGAATCACACTATCCCTTGGCTGGTTCTATACTTCACCGACATCTCCTTTGCTGACCTTTCCTACATGCATATTCTGCAGTTTTTAAAACAGGAATCTTTTGGAGGGGCTAAAATAACCCTCTAAAATGTTTAGGGAAATGTTTAAAAAATATTTCAAAAAATTTTAAGAAGTAGCACTAGGATGCAATTTTAGTCACTGCTGTTTGTAAAACACACAGAGGACCTTAAGGTGGTAACATCCAACAGGGTATAAAAAAAAAAAATACCAGAAAGCCAAGCCAGCCAGAAGATCGAGTCACACCCCTGGGAGGCAGCAGCAAAACTCCACAGCATCAGAATAACCACACTGGCTGTCTGAGAGCAGGGTGTGGGGCTAGTTCTTACCATGGCATTTCAGTGGGTGGCAGACAGGAACAAAACCAGCAAATAAAGTTAGAAAAAAGTATGCAAATCCTCCATTCCCAGGGACCCAAGCACCCTGTCATGTCTCTGGGGGGCAGTGGGGGCACAGGGGGAGCTGGGGTAGCCTGAGGTTTGTGGATATGGAGCACAGTCCCATCTGACTAACCTGGAACAACCCTGTCTGCCACAGACTAACAGCTTAATCCTGTGGGTATCTGGTGACAATAACACTTTAACTGAGTTAAGCTTTTACCTGGGATTTGGATTTCCTGTACAACGGTTGCTTGAGGTCCTCTGGCAGCTGGGAAGCATTGAAAGCTGCCAATTCAGCTTCACTGTATTGATTTTCTTCCATTTTCCTCATTTTGAGGCTATCTGTGAAGTGCCTTATGTGGTCCAAAGCTGAAAGTCCAGTCTTATTATACTCCTCTTCTTTATACCTACAAAAACACCACGGAGGTTTTAATGTCAATTCAATGATCCTCTCTGTGTTCCCTTGTCTTCTCAGATTTACAGATCTGGGCATTTTCCCCCTTTTCCACATTCATAAACCCCCTTGGCTCCTGGAACAGTGATCCTGAAATAAAAGGAATTCCCTTTTCTGTTCTAAAGAAAGGGAGGGAAGTGGGAGTGGGGGAGGGAGAGTTTGTTCCTCTCCTGGTGTCCCCACAGCCTTTCCACGAGACCACTGCAAGGGATCCAGGACGGTTCATGGAGCAGATAACGTCTCTCCCATGAAACTGTCTCACCCTGTTTCCTGTCTCACCCAGAACCCGACAATAGTTCCCCCCCAAGCGCAGTTAATTTTCCTAACAAGGGCTGCAGACTGCACGGAGAGGCTGGAAGCAGGGCTGGTATTGACCCAAACACCGACGCACGTTGCTATTGTAACTGGGAAGTCGGCTACTCCAGACCAGTTCCCACGGCACAGTTCGGGGTTGGCATCCTTGTATGGCTTATTGTTTTTTATTCCACGCATCGGGCACGCCAATACTCGGAAGGAACCAACCTGCCAGGGGAAGCTTTGCAGTTCATGTCCAAAGTACTTGTTTCCTCGTAATCCTCCTCCGGAGTCCCCTCGTGCATGTCACTGGTGACGGGCTCTTTGACTGCCTTCCCTGCCATGTCGCTCTCTTCGTCTTCTTCATCCATCATTACTTCATCTTCTGCCTCTTCATCATCCAACAAATCCGAGTTCTGGCTGGCTACCATGGCTTTTTCATCCTTGAAGTGGCTGCCATTCATTCTGAAAGTACCAAAACAAACCCGAGCTATCAACACAAATCAGATATGAAAGCTCCTCACCAGCAGACTCTTGGAGGCAGATCTGAAAAGGATCTGTCCCAGCAGAATAAAGTGATTTCTGTATTTTATATCTTGCTTAGCTTCAGACATTCAGGCAGCACTGGAGAAAATTCCACTCAAAAATCAGTGGGATGTTACAGCACCATCAGCATGGGATTTTCCTGCTGCCCTGCTAAAACTACTGTTCAAGCAGGGGTATGTTCAGATATCCATTCCAAATTTTCTCACGCATTATTTCATCTCATGTTTCCAATCATACATGTAGTCTGGGCAAAACAACTCACTGCCTTTTAACAGGAGCTGCAGGGGCCAAGAAACGCTGAAAATTGGATCCAGCATTTCTAAAAAATGACATCCAATACCACATTCAGAGTTTTAAAGTCAAAATTACATGCATAATTAATTTTGCACACTACCACCCATTTGGAAGCCATGCAGTTTCACTGAATGTATGGATTTCACACATGGGAACCTAAGGGACTTGAGCTGAAGACCCAAAGAGTGGCCTGCAATACCCCTCCATGCTGAATTATGAATTAAGATTATGAACTGATTTGAAGGGCAAGAAGTAATGAAAAGAAAGGTCATACAGCATTTTAAGTGCATTTATTCTTACTAAATGAGTAATTGCAGCAATACACACGTGGAAAACCATTTGGCCAAGGCGCTGTAATTACGCTGTCCTTTGCTTTCAGACAATGACTTCTCTTAACTACTTCCTATGGGATTTTTATCGAGGACATAACACCCACGCTGAAGAAGGGGTTCGTTTGGTGATGGTCTCAACCCTGCAGGATTCGGAGCATCTGCACTGCATCCACCACATGAGATGGGAGCTAAAGAAACTCGGCACCACCACGTCAACAAACGCCCATCCAGAGGTACTCGTGGCATGAACGGGATGCACTCAGTGGAGCCCCCTGAATTCGTGCTACCACCGTATCTGCTCTGCCACATTATGTAGCACAGAGGCCTTGATTCATCTATTGTTCTCACTGTGCAAAAGGTCCTTAACTCTTCCAGGAATACAGTTATAAAAATGGAAACGTTATTGTCGGCACGCAGTTTGTTTCAGACTCCGTGTGCTTCAAACTGCGTGGAACAATATGGGATACACCAAAAGCTGGAGCAAGATAAGATGAGCCCTACCAGCCTACTTGGGGTTTAATGTGTGACTTGTTGCTGCAATGCATGGACTTTCTTGAGGAGTGCGCGCAAGCAAAGCTGGTTTCTTACACAACAACATCGTCTTCCTAAACACAACAGTTTCATCTATTTTCCGAGCAAATTCCAACTAATTGTCATGAGTTTAGTAGTGCATTTAAAAAAGTGCTCTAGGGAATGGTCTGTCTTTATAGTGGTATCAAAAAAATTAGAGGTTGTGCAGAGCAGGGAGAGCTGAAGCAGCCACCCCCCTCTAAGATCATCAGAGCAGTATAATTTTTATCATCTTTTATTTAAATAGGCAGAAATAAGAAATTGTTGAGCACAGTTTGGGCTGCCAACGTGCTTGTTATGCTCAATTGAGGCTCCTAGAAATGAAAGGGAGATGGACTCCAACCAAAGTAACAAAAGCCATGTGATTAAGAAAACAGATTCTCTAATTATGCTTTCAAATGCAGCAATTTGCCAGGGATAAAATATCCGTCAAGAGTAGTCTTAAGTGCCAAATTTAGAAAGGAAACACTGCACAACCCAGCAACCTTTCCACTTTGCCGACTTCCTGTCGGAGGACATGTTGAGACCAGATGTGCGAGCAAAAAAATCCCAAACCCTCATTGCCAATCAAGATGGAATGAAATTTGAATATGCATGTAATCACTTAATCCAATACTCTTGTGGAAATTGTGTTATGTCCACCATTTTTATCCCTTCACAAAGGCATGTGGAAATTGAGAAGACAGCGAAGTTTGTCACCGAGAGTAAGAATTTTTTGATGTTGATAATGAAATGCCAATTCAAAAGGGCAAATAATGCATAATGCAACACCAATCCCAAAGAAATATGTGGGGCTCATGTGCGTATCCACCCCACAGCCTTTTCTGCTTAGCTGTACTTTTATTAGCTGAAAATATTTAGAAGTGGTCTCTCTTCTGGTAGTTCAGAAGGATTCAAACACCCATATACTTAATAAATCTTAGTAGAAAAAAATTCTCTCACATGCTGGAGCACTGTGGACTACCAGTGCCTACCCACAGCCTCACGGGCTTTTGGCTAGTCAGCATCTTTCTTGGGATTGAGTTACTTACGGGAAAGGACTTTCAGTTACAACCTTTCATTTGACCCAAGAATTTAGCTTAGTCTACTTTATTAATTACACATTTATATTGCACTTAAATCCTAAGGCTTCATACATTTAGCCACAGGATGTAGAATTCACCTGTTCTGCTGTGAATGCAAAGTGAAGGAATTTTTCAACAGACTTAAATGAACGATGGGAATCTGAAACTGCAAGGGGAAATGTGTTCACAGACAGAACCTTCAGTCCAGCATCTGCCACCTGGAATATCTTCATGCATGATGGGGAGAGAACTGACACATTTCTTTCCACAAGACACCAATATGACCACTGAAGCAACCAGATTCTAAAGTAACTCTGGCTCCAGACATCATCAAAAGCGAGAAATCAGGCTTAGTCTGCAAAACTGGAAAAGGAGCAGTGGCACCTTCTGAATGCAGACCAGACACAACTCACCTCTCCTCTGAGTTTCGGGGGGACTGGTTGTTGTGGTTGCTGTTTCCAATAAAATTCCTAATTTCTGTGAAGTAAGAGTCTTCCTTGTCGTCAAGGATTGCCCCTGTGCTTTCCAGTTCTGAGTGAGGTGAAGATGTTGCAGTACCTTAAAACAAAACATATGACTTCTGTTGCTGCTCTTTTACATTTTCTATATCTAACCATTTAAATCAAAATGAAATCGAAACTATGGTTAAAATGGGTGAGAGCCAGAAACAGTTGGTCATGGTGATCTATCAGCTTTTGGCCATAAAACCAGCAATTAGAAGGGAAGTATATTACCCATGGGCAGAGGTGGTTTCCAGCCAAAATGACTGGCTGCACTCTGGGTGCCATTTCCATGGTTTATAATCGCTTTTGCCAGGTATCTATTTCAACATCTCCCTCCTGTCCCTTGTGATTCAAGGACTGTCAGTCAATAACTGTCTTTCTTAGACCAATGGCTGACCTGAGCAAACAGAACATCATTTAAGCTACTAATTATGCAGATCTGCTTATGGTATGGATCACCCAGGCTCATTAGCACTGAGAGAGCAATGACAGATGTCTTTCTCTGAGCATCAGGGAAGGGACAGCTCTGGACTCACTGCATGCACCTGGTTATTTCTAGAGAGGGGAAATGCAGACTGGAAGGACTGCAGAGAGGTTTTCACTAAACTCTGCAGACACCCAAACCAGAGCAATGACATCCCCTCCGAGCCCCTGCCTTCGCTGCTGCTGTGCGGTGACCGATTTGCTCTGGGCCTTGAGAGGCACCATTACCTCCGTAATAGCCAGCACTTTTCAGCTCCTGACAGTGGGAATACTTTAGAAGGTGCCAAGAAAATCTTTCAGAGTGCCCCCCGAGACTCTAAATCTAGGACTCCCATTGAGAGCCGAGTGATTGCGGCGATGGGATTAAACCGATTTTCCCCAGCCTGTTCTCAAAACGTGAGGGTCGGCTTAATTAAAACCAAAAGAAAGGACATCACCCAGTGGTCTTAAGTTATACAAGGGGAGAGTTTACGCTGGGATTTTCCAAGCACTTTAAATGTCAGCAGAGCTTAGGCACTTGCATATTTTCCAAACCCCCACACTCGTCGGAGCGGGCGGCGCCCATTGACACCCGGCAGCACTGACAGCTGGACACGGCACACAGGGCAAACTGGGGATGGCAAAGACATACATACCAGACATGTTCCCGTTCTCGTGCTTCTTTAGGTGTCTGTCAAGATTGGTTTGTTGACCAAAACACCTGTCACACAAGTGACACTTGAATGGCTTCTCTTTATTGTGGATGTTGCGCACGTGTCTCTGCAGGTTAGAGGATATGCTGAAGGATCTGTCACAGTATTTGCATCTGGAAAAAAAACAAAAAAACAAAACAAGTCGGTAGAAAAGGGTTTGTTAGTAGCTGGAAATGTAAGATTTGTCCTAAGAGAAATGAAGCAACTCCTGGGCTCAGTCTCAGTAGCCAACAGCAGTTCCTTGGTCCCTACTGAGGCACAATCCTCCCTGAAATAAAGACAAATTTTGGCTGAATAACCGGAGAGTTGTGCTCTTGGAATGGACACTTCATTTCTGTGGTTGGTTTTTCAGCTTTAATTCACATTAGGCTTCATATTTTAAGTACTGCCTTTAGGAGTAAGCATAATATTTCAGAGTTAATGGTATCAAATTAGCTATGGTAATTGAGTCCCATGTTTTTAAAACTGTTGCACGCAAAGTTGGGAAGTTTGAAAACAGTAGAGCAATAACTCTATTGTTTCATGTGCTGCCAATACAATACAATTAAACACTTTTGGAAAAAACATGAAACAGATCTCTTCTAGTGCTCAAATAAGGTAAAAAGGGCTATTTCTTTTCCTATTCTAAATTATACTGTGTGATTAAATCTCTTCTTGAGGAATTAGCTTGCTCGATTGCTAATCCCAGAGGAAATTTGGTTATCTTGCAAAAACCAGCAATAAACAATCCCAACCTTTAATACTGTGCCAATGTGAGTAGTTTAGTCTATCACTCTGGTACCAGAGGCATCAATTTTCATACTCTGTAGCGATTTGGAGTCCCTAAAGCCTTTACTGTATTGCTCTTTAAGCCATTACTAAGTCATACTATAACTATTCCAAATTCTCTGGCTGGCAAGTAGCCAACAGTCTTCACCACTTTACTTTTTCAATCTTTTACTTCTCCTGTGCCTCTCTTACGCTTGTCAATGATGTCAAGTTTTTTTTAGTGCTGAAATCGTCCATTATGCTACTAATTGCTTGTGGCTTTTATGCAGTGGACGGCTTTAACATGCATCAAGACCTTCCTTCAATAAAATCAGATGTGAATCTCATTTCCCAAAGCGACTGGAGGCAAAAAAACATATTGTTTCCTCACAAACAATGAGCTTACTCTGCTCTTTACAGCTCATAAAATGCAGAAATCTGTGCATTTGTTTTACTGGAACATGAACTGGCCTCTTTCCAGTTTAAATTAGTCTTTCATTTTCAATAAGGTGAAGCTTCTATACACATGTCTGCATGTGACTGTCCTGGATTCAGTATCACACACATATTCTTATCAACAGGAGAGTACACCCACACGGGGTTTTTGGTCAAGCAGACCTCAGACAGGATCCAGATTAGGCAGGAAACAAATAAATACAGTAACGCCTTTGCAACCGGGACCTTTCAGAAATCACATGATTGACAAATCACCCAACTACAGGCTGCAAATAACACCGCAGAACTCTTAAGAAAAAACATTTTTTGCATGAGAAAATATGCCCATGAGCCCTACTGGACATCGTTTCAATCGCACCGCTTCAGCAGTGCCAGCCATCCCTCCAGCAAAGGCAGAACTTGTGGACAGTGCTGGGGAGCTGCCTCAGCCAAAAGAATTTCACTACCTAGGACCAAAAATTTCCCCCTTCATGCAGCTCCAACGCTGAGTACCAGCATCGAATGCACAAAGCGACCAAAATGCAATGGTGGGTCATCAGTGCTAAGGAGGAAGGGCTGGAGATGGCCCAGAAAGGATGTTGAGCACCCATTCCCTGGCTTTATTCATAGAATCCTGGAATACTCTGGGTTGGAAGGGACCTTAAAGACCACTTGACAACAGCGCAGACAGGGGTGAGGGCACGTGGTACCTGTAGGGCTGCTCTCCAGTGTGCGTCCTCAGGTGGCGTGTCAGGTTTGCAGATCTCGGGAAAATCTTGCCACAGTATCTGTGATAAGAGAAGGTTTGATAAGACAACACGACCCTCAATGGCTTTGTCCCAGTCTGGGCTGCACTGGATGCACGGCCCCAGGTGGAATCATTAATATATGGTACCACAGGCACTGCTTTGGTGTAACAACAGCTCAATAAAAGCATCCAGCAAATGTAAGGGATTGACACACACACATGAGAATGGGACTGGAACCGCTGGTACCAACCAGCTTTGCTTGTGCACAAGGGAGGGATATATGGCAACACGGCGATTTTAAAGATCACCCCAAGTTTCCAAGCTCACTAGGTGATTATCCGCTTCGTTCAGATTTGGAATCAAGAGAATCTGTTATTAAAGCCCTGGATTTCTGCCTCCGGGTAAGCAAATTTCAAACCTTTCAACCAATTCTACATGTCAGCAAACGTGACACCGTTCTGTGCATTGAATAGGATCAGAGCAGACAAGACTCAAAGACCTAATCCATCAAGGTATGTTTCTATAACAACATGTCTTGAAAGAAGGTGACATGTTTTCAAAAAGATCAGATAAGCCGATATGCCACTGTCAAACGCCTGCACGTTCTGGAGATGATATAGAGACCTAAATAATGCAATTTAAAAACCATTCTCCAAACTCGATAATATGCCACAGGAAAAATAATGGCCAAAAGAAAAAAATAATTATTCGGAGTTCTCCCCCTTCATTCAAGTAAAATATTAATATTCAGTTTATAATTGGCTCATTCTGTTAAGGACACTGAGCCCATATTTTGATGGGGACACAGCACACACAGCACACTCTTAGGTGAATGAGAGTGGTGGTTGCTCCACGCGATGACTTTGAAGATTGCATCCCCTCACTTTTTACCATCCCATTTATTTTTCCACAACGTGATGTATAAGCCTTCAAAATACCCACACAGCCTAATTCCACTCTCCTTGACAAAGCTCCCATTCATTTTGGGTGCATGTTCAATGACTATCTTCATTGTGGGTTGTTTTTTTTTTTTTTTTTAAGTCTGTACACACGAGTCCTAATAAGTCATGTATTTTATCACCGATCCCTTTGGATATTAAAACCAGAAGCCTGAGAGAAAACACGTCTGTAGTTTATGATCAAAAAAATCAATAATGAAAGCACACTTTCATATATGAAAGCAATGAGAAAATTTTTGGGGAAAAAAAAGGACTGTTTATATAATAGTTTCCACCTCATTTATCAAACCGGTATGATACAGGGAATACTCTTTGTTTCGTAACACCCACAATTTAATAAATAAGAACCGCCCAGGAAAAAGGCTTTTCGTGTTCTGCTGGGCACAGAGAGCCCTGAAAAGTCTCACTGTGGTGCCTGCAGGAGACACCCTAAGCAAGTTCTGGGGATTTGGGGAGCAAGTTTTACCTGCAGGTGTAGCGCTCCTTGCCCTTGCGCAGCAGGGTCTCGGGGAGGGCGCTGGGCGGCGCGCGGAAGTTGAACATGGACGGCACCGACTGGATCAGCTCGCTGGCCTCGGGCTTCAGGGCGCTAAAGCTCTCCAGCTTCTCGGCCATGTTCTCTATGGCCGACATCTGCAAGGGAAAGGGAGCGCAGAACCCGTCAGGGTAAATCCCACCGCGGCTTTCTGCTCTCACCAGGAACCCGAAACACCGGGAGCACAGACCGGGCAAGTGAAAAGAAACAGGGAAAAAAACAGCCAACAGAGAGCTGAGGTCTCAAAAATCACGTTAAGTGAGGCTGTGGCCAAGATGTCGTCCCACTTGGAACAGTGCCACCTACAGCGGGTGCTGTCCTAACTGCTATAATGGAAAGCTGCTGCCACACAACATCTAAATCAGCCAGTGTTCACTTCTTTTTAAGTCCCAGTTTCTGTAAAATTCCAGTTTTTGCTGTCCTGTCTTGAGGGTGTATGCCTACAAGTCTCTGTGTCCCATCTACTGAAACCACTGGTCATTTTGACCAGATCAACAGAAACAAGAACCGAATTCCTACATTTGTGGGGTTTTTTTGGTTTTTTTTTAAGGACTTGCAGAGGACAAATATTGCAGAGGAAACCTTATGAACACCGTAGCTCAACCAAGGGCTCCGACAAGCCAGATCCAGAGAGGCGCCATCAATGTCTCAGCCACATCCAACCCTTCAGGCCAGTTTTCCTGCCCATCACAATCAAAGACCATGAGATAAACACACAAGAAATGAAGTTCTGGTGAGTCTGGTGCTCTGTATTTACATTACCTGTTAGATGTCCATCCTATTTTTCTACTACCTCTTAACATTCCTGCTCTGCCTTTAGCTGCTTGTAAATCCTCTGTGCTTTGGAATGTCTCCACCCTTGATTAAGCTGTCTGTAATTTGCAGGGAGTGAGGATTAAATTATTTCTGGAGAATGATTTCCTTTAAGGTGTCTGGAACAGCCCATGAGAAACTCCTCCCAAACCTCAAACTCTGCCACTTGAAGAGTTCAAGAATGCTGCTGAGCCTACTGACAGGTGAGAGTAACCATCCACCTCTTCATAACACCACAAACAAACGAAAAGCAAGCAAGTAAGCCAAGATCTCACCTACAGAGCACAAAAACCACAGCATGAGCCCTGTGCAATATCTCGCTTGTAAAGAAGAAGGAAATTATATGAAAGACAAGATGCTGAACACTTCTCAGCTGGAACACCTCCACAAATTGTTCTTCAAAATCCATAGAAGACTGCTCTGATTGTTGGAAAATCGAAATTTTAACTGCAAGAATTGCACGCTTGTTGGGGTTTATTTAATTTTATTTTAATTGGCAGAATTACACCTTTATCTCCTGGAATGACAATTTCCAGGCTGGTTGGCTCTGCCTTTGGGCTGGGTTGCTTTTTTCCCTTTTAGCCTGTAGCCTGCCCTCTCATTTCATGCTCAGATTCCTAATGCCGAGTACAAATTGCAACGTACAGGGTACCACTGCCAATTTGCCAAATGTCTTTCATCAAACACGGTGGAAAAAAATAAAAAATCTCAGAGGGAAGTCAAGATACATTTACTTGTCAGGCAACAAATGTGAAAGCATTGCGAGGCAGTAGGGGCTGTAAGCTCTGGGGTTTGATTCATAATCACTCAGCTGCTAAAACATTCTCCACAGATGCAAGTGGACAGCACATTTGTCAATATGAGGGATTTTGACGTGTACTGATCACAGGCGTGAGATATGTAATGATGATGCTGCTGGGAGAGGAGGTAATTCTATCTCGGCACAGAGATGTCATTATCAGCCCATACAACTCAACATTACCATACATTTCTTTTTATG